ACTTCTTCAATAATCTAAAAGCAAAACGAATTTTTTTACAAAGACAGATAAGGGACTGTTCATGTGGGAAAAAGTTATCCCGGCAGTTAGCGAGAAAAGATTTCGACCAGCAAGGCAGCAAATAATTTTGTTCTGTTCATATAAAGTTTCCATGGCTGTGACATGTTATGCCGGTCATAGAGCTAGATCTCAGTACATGGAAAATGTTTTGCCTCATATGAACGCAGTGTAACTTTTCATTTGAAAAACAGTTTTTGGCACTCTTTGGGTGTCTTTTTTGGCTACTATGATCAGTAAATTATGAACAATTTACAATGTTTTTCAAAGTTTATGGGAAGATCAACTGGGAAAAAGGAAATGAGCAGAAATCGAGCAACGAAAAGCATTTTTCTCTGCGCATTTTAATACAACATTAAAATAGCTTTGGGAAATAAGGTTGGGAAATAAGGACGGAAAATTTCCGTGTTGACATTGAGTTATGTCGGCACTGCTGTTAGCTAATCAGCGTTCAGAGTGTACGGATGCTATGTTATTACAAACAGCAGCATGGTATTTCACATTGACCTTTGGGCCTGTCAATCTTGTAAGAAAAAAATGTATTCTACTGTAACTACTGCCTACCTCTACTGGATTCCTGAAGCAAGGATATAGCTCTAACAATTTTGAGCATCGCTCTTCCACTGGCATATCCTTGATCTGCTGCTGTCTTGAATCAAATTGTTGGTTCAAATAGGCATTTACTACACTTGGTGACGGATTTTTTTTCTTCATCTCGTTGGACAGGGAATTGTAGAGCCTATCCATGATAGGCTGATCAGTGCTGCCACAAAATGACTTTGGGTCTATAATTGAGAACATACTGATTAATTCATGAGCGCATTATACAATGAGTCACCAACCAAGAAGTGGATTTCAGGATAACTAATATAGGTAATTTGTAAAAAGACGAAGTACAAGTTCAAGTTGAGAAAGAAACTTGTCCATATCTCAGAAGTGAACTGCCTCAGACATAAAACTATTGTCACATGTATAGCATTATAACTGAATGCAGGATTTGAGGTACCGGTAATGCACTTTCAAAGTGCAACTTAGTGCAAGGCTCAAAACAACAGCTGGTTATTAACAGTCAAGGACCAGTCACTTTTTTAACATTGTTGGCCAATTTAACTGGACAGTAGAATTTCAGGAAATCCTTATTCCGTTTTCTCCTCATCATACAGTATGTGCTGAAACATTGTCAGAGGTAGAAAGACTGTACAGTACATTGCTGTATATCCATCGACATACAGTTAAATTTTTGTTTGTGTTGGTCACATTACAAAATTCCCTACTAATTATAATGGTGCCTATATTTACAATGTGAGTTATGTGATTGTTAACATTTTCAGTGTTTAAAACTTGAAACAGGAATGTTGTTAGCAACCTTGTATCTCACACAGAGTTTCAGTTTGACCAAGCTAAAATAAAATTGACTGGAGCTCTATCAGTCGTTATTTTGAGACACGCACTGTGTAGGCTGGTAATAAGGCTGGACAAGACTGTTATTTTTACCAGTGTCAGATTCAGAAATTTCTTCACTGGTACTGGTGTCCATATTTTCACAAGAAGTATTTTCTTCGGTCTCAACTTCATCCATACTTTCATTGCAGCTGGACATTTTATTTCCAGAACCTTTTTTCTTGTTTGGTCCATGTTTCTTCTCGACTGGCTTTTTGTTATACATTCGTTTTTTCAAACGGTTAAACAAACGTTCCTATAACATATATCAAAATACTTACGTTCTGACAGTCAATTTCAGATAACTTTACACACAAAATACAAAACAACGGTAACTCCAAAAATTGATAACATTTTTATTTATCTATGTTTCGACTATATTTTAGTCATCATCAGGATAAACTAACTAGATTATATATCAAAAGCAGTATTTATATGAAGAGATTATAGTAATATGATACATTACGTTGATTAATGAATTATTATATTAGTTAAATATGATTAGTTCTTTAGAAGCTTTAATTCCATTGTTCAGTTCAGGTTTATGTCTTTGAATAGCGATTTTCTATTATAGCGATTCGCTATTCAAAGACAGAAACCTGAACTGAACAATGGAATTAAAGCTTCTAAAGAACTAATCATATTTAACTAATATAATAATTCATTAATCAACGTAATGTATCATATTACTATAATCTCTTCATATAAATACTGCTTTTGATATATAATCTAGTTAGTTTATCCTGATGATGACTAAAATATAGTCGAAACGTAGATAAATAAAAATGTTATCAATTTTTGGAGTTACTGTTGTTTTGTATTTTATAAAAATACTCAGTGGTTCTAACAGGTCTTAAAATATCTTTTCCAGGGCCGTCTGACAAAATGTCCGGTGACGTTGAGTTTGGGTCGGACATATGTCCGATGACCTTCAGTTCAGTTTTGACTCGGAAATAAGTCTGAATGACACAAATGAATAAACGGTAAATGTTGTAAAGATATTAAATAATTTCTTTCATACTTATTTCCAAGCCAAAATTAACTTGCTTTCCAGAACAGCAGTATCAAAAAAGACTTCAACAACTTAAGTCCGATTTCCACTTCACCATTATGCTCGCCGCCCAGCGCTCGACTACGTTAAAACAACAATTCCATTTATACATTTAACATACAAGCCTCTAGTCCTGGGCTAAGGTACATTTTGATTTACGTCGGACAAAGTTGCAGTTCGGTCGCACACAAATACACTCGGGTCGGACAAACAATAAACCTCAGTTTCACTTTGGTCGGACAGAATGTCCGATGGTTTCCTTTCTACGTCGGACAATTTCACGAATGGGCCGGACAATTTCTGTGACTGACCGATATTTTAAGGCCTGGTTCTAAAAATGTTTTACACACAAATGTTCTGAACTTTGTTGTGAAGTTCAAAAGTTCATAATGAGATCACAAACCAGCTTGTAAACTACACATTTGATCAAAAATTGGCTTCTTTTTTTCAGGAACCAATTGAGCACTTTGTTTACAAATTGGCTTGTGAATTCCAATATGAACTTCCGAATTTTGCAACAAATTTACGAACTTCACAACATTTTGGTGTAAACTTATCTGAAATTGACTGTAAGCCTAATATATGTTAGAGCTATGCTTTAATTGGTTTAGAATAAAAGTAAATAAATTTTAAAAAAAACCTTTGGAACTTTACAACAAACATTCCAAACAAACATTAGAAATGATTTGTTTTCATGTCAGTGCTGTGTACTCAGGTGAACATGATTTTTGTATCTGTGCTAAGTGCTAGACACTATGCTATTGAGTTGTGTGTGCGTTTGTTTGTCAACCCTGGAGATAACACCCTTGGTACAAGATTGGTACAGGAAACAAAATGGCACGGTAAAAGAGTGATGTTTCTATTACTAATTTATAATACACACTTTTATACACTGTCTATGAGATGTTATTTTCATTCTAAAGCTGTACTCAAGTAAAGTACTAGAGACTAAATGCTTTATAATTTTACGATTTTGTGTCAGTGTGTTCGACTCAGATATTTTACAACATTTTCCAACGAAACTTCAGAATATTACTAATTTTTTTCTAAGTCTCTTTCAAGCTGAGTGAAATAGACGTTGTATAGACGAGTAGCGATCAAAATTTTGGTTGTATTCTTGTAGTATATTTAAAAGTAAAACCTTTGAACAAGTTTACAATATACAGTAAATACTAAATTCAAATCCTATTTTCCTACCATGGGCAACAAAAATCCTTACAACTCCTTCTATACTCCTGACATTGGGGTTATACCCTAGCAAAAAGATTTAAATATTCACAAGCCCTTGAGATTGATGAATATATATGTCTGAGGTATTTAAGGTGGTATAAAAAATATGCAGGAGAAACTTACATGACCACTAACTGGATCACGTAACAATGGATAGGTTACAATCAGACTTTTTCCAATCTCCTTTAATTCCATAGAAGTTGGTAATCGATTCCATGGTTCAGAAAGGGCCACAGATACCATGTTGCTTACAGTTGCTCGCACAATATCATGAACCAAGTGTTCTGGTAAACTTCCATCTTTTGAAGCTAAGTCAACACGTCTATCACGATAGATGGTATAAACTGGTGATTTTATATGCAATATTGCTGCTGAGGTTGAAGGAATAAGCTTTGTCGACGTTTGTTTGATTATGGTAATATCATCTTCTGACAAGTCAGCATCATTGTTGTCATCTATCATGTCAAACTTTCTTTTTCCGTCCATTCTTTTTGTTGTTGATTTAGGGCTAGCTATTGGTTTCTCATTTTCCTGAAATAAAAAAAGGAAAAGCTTCATGCAGTACTTAACTTCCAATACTTCAGTCTTATAAGAGTGCAGAGAAAATGGGTGTCAATGTATCTAAAAGAAGGGATTGATAAAAAAAACCAGACAGAGGTGTGCTAAGTGGGTAGTCGCCTAAAACCCACCATCAATGAGGGCACTTGGTAGGGGATATGGTCAAAAATGGTTTGAAAAATACAATTGAAAATATATTGCTGGTATGTTAGATAGACCCTGAGTTGAAGTACATTACTGTGGATATAATTATAAAATATTTTTACCTGAGCTATAACTTTGCATATGCGTGACCTCAATAATATTCCTTTCATTCCATCAGCTGGAATAATTTCTCTCAATGCGTCATAACAAAGATCTTTCACATCCTTAATTGTTAGGCCACCAGCTGAAACACATAATTAATAAAGTGTGACTATCCCATGCCCCATGCTTATAAATGGTATTGACAATATTAAATAATTGTGCAGTCACAGAAAATCAGTAAAGACTAGAGTTAAAGATCCAATTACAGTATTGATATCACCACTTTTTCACAAATTTCTAAACCTCTTTCTGTTATGCTGTCATGCCCCCCCCCCCCATAGCTACCCTCTTCCACCATTTACCCCTCCTTACCAGTGCTTCCTCTTTGAAGGAAATTTTTGCAAAATGAAGGAAATAAATTTTGAGGGAAATTTGAAGGAAATTCTAGATGAACAAAGGAAAGTTGAAGGAAAATGCAAAATATCTACAAAATTGGTGATATTTGGAAAATAAAGCGCAAAATAAACTCAATCCGATCACATTTTAGCCGAATGTAGAAACTCTAGAGTTTATATTAAGTTATCTAATGAATATGACCTGGCCCAGATAATTTGAAAGCCAATACTTCATGTAATATCAATATCATAAACATAATTACATACATATAAATCAGAATAATTAAAACTTTGTTGATATTTTCCACGCTCTGATATAACCACAAGCGAAGACAAAGACATTTTTTGTCGTGTTAAAATATTAATTACTAAGATATGAAAGTAAAGCACCTTACCCGCTGGACCGAGCCTAAATAAAACATGGATAGCGCAACAATTTTTTGTATTCCGAAAGCAAGTGTGGGCCAGTGTGATAGTGATATAAATGAAGTTGAAAGCTGTGCTTATTGCCTAGCCATGGGCGGGGCCTGGCCATGTGCACCGTGCACGATAATCCAACAAGTCAATATCTACTGTAGAAAACGTAAATGTCCATTGTATCCATTCCTATTCCTATTACATTATTCGTACAAAAATAACTACTCTATCTGGTGCATGGGCAGAAAAATATTGTAATTCCAAACATCATAATAGTCAGTGTAGCTAATTCTTCAATTTTGTATCCCTGAATGACGTCATTCTGTTTATAATCTGTATGCAAATGAAGTCGAATTGACAAGTTTTCTGTTAAAAAAACATGTGTTTTGAATGAAGAGACAACGTCGCACAAATGAAACGCCTTGGACGTGTATATGCTGCAATTATTTTCAAGCGATCTCGCTTCGAACGCTGCTTAATTACTATAATAAGGTTCATGGCCATGAAACCAATTTTCGAGTTGTATGTAACGTTGACGATTGTCCGGCAATATTTACGAAATATAACTCGTTATATAAGCACATTACAAGGTGCCATGAGGATGTATACAATGAGACTGTTAAAGGCAACTCTGATGTTGATAATACTGAGGACAAGGTCAATGATGATGGTGATTTATTTGATTACAACCTGCGTTTATATAACGAAATATCAGACAAAGATAGTTCCGATTCCGAAGAATTATGGGAAGCGAACATGGCTGAAAAGCAGGTATATACTTTTCATATAAAGTAATAAACCAAGATTCATCCGACATTTCATTTTATTATTCACTGTGTGTTTACAATATCCATTTTGATTGCTTAGGGCCATTCCATTTAATATATATATCCCCCCTGTTGACGACATTTTCTGAAGGGTCTTGGAAATTACAAAATTTCTGAGGGGTGAGAAATTTTTTTAAAAACATTTTATGAAATTTCTGAGGGGTCGGAGAAAAAGGTAACTGTCTGAGTGTCCTGTTGACAACATTCCTGAAGGGTCCGAAAAATTTCACAATTTCTTGAGGGTCTTAAAATTTTTATTTCCGAAGGATTGAAAAACGTCGTTTCTGAGGGGTATAAAAATCGGAATATGTCGTCAACAGGTGGTGTTTATATGTATGTAAGTAAATAATCTGTGAAATTTCCAAAGAATTTTCAAAAATTTCAGAGGGGTTGCTACCATGGGTGCTACATATCGACGACAATTTCTGAGGGGTCCCAGAAAAATTTTTGAATTCCCGGAAAATTTGAAACTTGTGAGGGGTGTGAAAAATTACGTTTCTGAAGGGTCAAAAAATCAGGCGATGTCGTCAACAGGGGGGTGTATACATTAAATGGAATGGCCCTTAGCGACCTACAGATAATTCCTTCAATCCTTGGTATCTGCAATTATTATGTCACATCTACACATAAATCCTGGTATTCTGTAATTATGATGTCATATCTGCAAATAATAGTTTCTACGATTTAGAAGTCGTTTTATTTTTTTATAAATAAAATTTAATAGTTTCATAGCATCTTGTCAAACTTATTGGATGTGTATGACCTTCTTTCCTCGTATTCGATTGCTAAAATGAATAATAATGAACTGAATAATAAAATAATTATTGAATTCTGTTTTTGCGTGATATCGAGCTTTGCTTGATAATTCTCAATATCCCACTCAACCTCATCCAATAATTATTAATTATTTGTAGTAAGATAATAAACTATTTTTTTCCTGAAGCTTCCAGCGTTTGAGCCAGTAGCCTAGTGGTTACAGCATCCATCAGCGTCATCTAAAGTCACTTTTTTTCTATTTTTTTCCTCGAACGTGTAGGGGTAGTGTGTGGGATCGGTTTATTTTATAAAAAAAACTTCATGTCAAATGAATCGCATTCACAGGGGTATTTTGCGGGGGGGGAATAGGGGGAATTGGCCCCCAAAAATCCAGAACCCCCCCCCCCCCAAATCTGAAAATAGCTAAATTTGGGGGGGGGGAGCATTTCCCCCCAAAATGGGGCATGACTCTTTAGAGCATTTGTGATTATTTTCTTTTCAACTTTTAATTTTTTGGAATGAATGGAAATGTAATGTACAATGTAATGTACAAATAGGTGAGCGTAGGAAATGACTGGGTTTGTTGTTAGGAGGGATGGGGGAATTCCCCCCTAAACAAAAAAAAACCTGAAATATGGGGGGGGGAGCTCCCACCCAAGTCCCAAAACCTAAAATACTCCTGCATTCAGGTGTTGAGTTCCAGTGTCGTATGAATATCCAGGACGATTGTATTAAATTATACTGTCTTTAATTAATACTGACATTTGGCAAGTTTCATGCATTAGGGAATATGGGTCATATCCTCCACATAGACAGGTTCTAAAATACGGCACATAAATTATGTAAAATTTGGAGGTGTGACAAACTTTTAAGCTTAGTGATTGGTTGCTTCATGTTGTTAGTAAACATGATTGGTTGGTTTCACTTCCGCCTCCAGTAAAATGTAACAACTTATGTCACACGAAATCCATCTATTGAAGTTGCTAGGCAAAACTTCAAACAAAATGATACAAAATTGGTGCGAGAACAGTACAGTTATTAACTCACTCCAATTACTGCGTCCCGATTTCAAGTTGACTCCGGACATTGGAATCCATGAGGTGATATGAAACGCAAGAATACTGTGTTTTTTTTTAAACATGAGGTTTTAATATCATCATTTTGCTTAAATTTTATTGTTTACTGGTAGCTGTGTTTCCATCTTAGACTGCAAATAGTCCCTCAAAGCTGGAAAGTAGGGACTGCAGACAACACAGTTAGAAATAAAGTATGCCCACTTTTCGTAACTGTCATTTTGACTCCGCCTTTGCATTAACATCAGTATTGATTGGCAAGTTCTTCCGAGCAATTTGAAACCGTCAACTTTACAAAGAGCAATTTGTAAATTTAAATTTTCAAAATGCTCAGATGTTGAATGCTTGATCATTTTCTTAAAATAAACAGCAATTTATTTTCCCATGTAGTGTTCAAACTACTGTACTCAAAATAGTTATCTTGAAACATATACTTGGTGAAAATCATAAAAAATTGGACCGCAAAGCGTTTTGAAACTTTAATATTTACAAATTTCAATTCCGTTGCGACGGTTGATTATATATTCTAGTCTGGCAATTATTTTAGCAAATACATTATCAGAGTATATCAGATTTGATTGACAGGCACAACGTTTCAACCAATGGGAATTTTGTGTTGTGTAGACAACGTGTGTTTCATTTCTTATAGTGTTGTATGTAGTCTTTCCTATCCCAACCCGCAAGCTAGAGTATCTGAACCCGGGGAAAGGAGGGGCTGCTTGTAGTCTATTTCCATCCTGGCACAGAATCACTGACATTTAAGACAAAATGATATTTTATTGAGAAAAACATGAAAAAAATCCAGTTACTTAAGTTTGCGCACACCAGTGGTCCACTGGGAGCTGTTGTAGCCATCTGTCACAACAACAGATGTGCTTGCCAACCGGCACCACCGTACACCAGCAGTGTACCGGTAGTATGAGAGAACATTTTTTGCTTTATTCATAACCGGCCAGCAGAAAATAGGACGTTTACCACTTAATAGTTGCCACATTTAATTACATAATGTCATTTATAATACTTATTTGTAGCTCATATTTTCATGATTAAAGGGCCCTATAGTCTATACAGTCATTTTTGTTTTGATTTGACGCCTTAAGTAAATATTGTTTCCACTTTTTGTTTAATTTTATTGTTATTTAAGAATGGCTTTTGTAATTATTCGTAACTTAATGTAGATACGTGCTATAACTTCCTATACCAATAAAACATGACACTAATCACTAGAAAATGACTGAGGATGTACAACTCTTTGCACCTGTCTTGATTTTCTTGTATGAGGCATTAGCCAGGGATATCATATTCTGACTCCTGTTGTGTACCTTAATCTGAGTCCTTAACCTGTGAGAAGATTATTTTTGACACCTACACAACATCCATCAGAAGCAGTTTAATATTGAAAATATAGCAAGAATCCATCGGGTATAATAGCGCTATAATTACAATAACTTGAATGTGGTTTTAGAATATTGATGTGGACATTAAGAAGAGTGCTGCTTCATTCCTACTAAAGGTGAAAGAAAGAAATAAAATACCTCAGGTATATAATTAATATATTATACAATTAATATATTATATAATTAGCATATTACATATTATGGTCGCGCTCTAATAAAGTTTTCTCTTTGCTCGGCTTGGTTATTACTCGTAACAAGAACTTAAAACATTTCAGTATATGACGTTACAAGTAGAAATTGAACAGGCAAAAAAAAACACAAATATAGCTGGGTTTCAATGAATCACCCACAAAACATTTGATGATGCACGCTACGCAATTGCCACCAAACTTTCGAAGCACATTTAAAATTTAAAGAAGAATCGACGCAAGTTCTCAATCAAGTAGTCTGTTCTAAGACAAGCAGGTTCTTATTGAAGCGGTGGAAAGAATTGCGACCTTTGTTTACAAGAAAAGATCCACATCCTGAACGGTGATAAAACAAAGTTATTAAACAAGCGATGTGAACTTTTCTCGAAATGCCGCCATCAGAATCGTTTTTCCAGCAGGAAAATTTGAACTTGCGTGCGCACTGTCATTATGACGCAAGTTCAACTGAAATCTTGCATAATCACATAGGAATCTTTAAACAGTTTCAAACAGTGTAGCATATACTGAAATGAATTATACGGTATTTTAGGTTGCAATGGAATCGATTATGGATAGTACACGTACTCTGATAAAGCAAGTGGTGGATTCTGTGAAAGTGGATGTGCTAAATGTCGTAGAATGCAATGAACAGAAAGCTCAAGTCAACGAGATATTTGAATCAGTAACAGATCCTTTCGGCACTGATGCTTTGCAATCCAAGTACATCAAAGAAAATTTCAATTATGTTGAACCAAAGGAAGTGACTTTAGGGAAAAAGTTTACTTGGAAAATGCAAGGAGGTACAAGAACAATTTGTGAGAAAAGTGAGAAGTTTGTATACATTCCTATACTTGAAAGTTTCCTATACTTGAAAGTTTAAAGCAAATTCTAACCAATGAGCGTATCTCAACTATGGTTCTGCGAAATCCTAAATGTTGCCATGGGGATGTATTTTATGATGTACAAGATGGTCTTTTGTATCAAAATGATGACTATTTTGAAAAGCATGAGAACTCCTTGTGTCTTATACTATATCACGATGAATTGGAGGTGTGCAACCCGTTAGGCAGTAATGCAGGGGTGCACAAACTCGACATGTACTATTATACAATTGCAAATTTATGTCCAAAGTTCAGGTCCAAGCGTTGTGCAGTCCATTTATTTGCGATTGCTAATGCTGATTTAGTGAAGAAGTATGGCATTGATACCATTATGAAGCCACTGGTGGATGATTTGAATATCTTGTACAAGGGATATAAGATGGAGATTAATGGTGTTGAAAAAGTCATCCATGGAAAGGTTCTGATTTGTGCTGGTGATACCCTCGGTCAGCACTATTGCGGAGGTTACAAAGAGGGAGTTGGAGTAGCTTTTCAGAAGTGTCGTCATTGCCAATGTGCATTTGAACAAATGCAACGTGACTTTCTGGAAGAAGCATTTGTTCTCCGGACAATGGAAACCTACAGTGCACAGTTTGATGCCATTGAACAGGCTCCAACTCTGAATGTCCAAAACGATCTGAAAACAACTTACGGACTAACTACAAGAAGTTCCCTTTGCCAGCTACCTACATTTGATGTCACCCAACAACTTCCCCAGGACATCATGCACACTTTGTTAGAAGGAGTTGTGCAATATGAGGTTAGACTAGTTTTGCTACACTACATTCAGTCTAGTCAAACCAGTCTTTCAGAAATCAATGGAGCTATTTTAAGTCATGAATATGGCTATTCAGAAATCAGCGACAAGCCAATTCCCCTGAGAGATACTGTGTTCCACGGTGATGAACGATACAAATTAAAGTACAATGCTGCAAAAGCTCGGTTATTCTTACGACTCTTGCCATTTTTAATCAGTCCTTTGATTGACACTGATGATCAGTATTACCAGTTTCTACTGCAGTTGATTCAGATTGTGCAGTTAATTTTTTCACCTGTGATTAAATTGGATACCATCAAGCACCTGGCAGAACTTATTGAACAGCATCTTTCACAATTTAAAGAGCTGTTCCCCAACTGCAATATAACTCCCAAACAACACTATTTACTCCATATACCAACTTCAATTCAAATGCTTGGCCCAATGGTTAGATCGTCGTGTTTTAGCTTTGAATCTGCCCATAACTTCTTCAAGGAATTAGCAAGAAAGCAGAATTTCAAGAATTTACCATTGTCACTAGCAAAGCGCCATCAGTTCAACTTGTGTTGCAACTTCGGTGATGCTGCGGAAAATCCAAGTTCGTATCCTTTGTTTTCCAGTGAGAAAACATTTGGTGTATTAAAGATGGTGAATGCAGAAGTGTGTCTGTCCTTGCGAGAAAGATTTAATTCATGCGGGCTTCTACCTGGTATTGATCTTGTAAATGTGTACAAAGTTAGCTGGATCACGCTTTTTGGCACAAAGTATGCGAAATCTGGTGTTATTGCTGTTGATGTTGCTGGAGACCCTGCACTGCCTGTTTTTGGTGTAATCCTGTGTATATGGTCTATTCTCGACTTCGTGTATTTTGATGTACGATTGCTCCATACACAACGTTTTGATCATAAATATCAAGCCTATTGTGTCAGAGATGTTGAAAATTATGAGGATTGTACCACAATTTGTCCATATGATAATTTAGTGGATTTTAATGTCTTTCATTGTAAGAAAGATAAACATGGTAACCAGTATGTTCCTGTTAAATATGACCTATGTGACATAATTGAAGAACATGCGGAAGGACGAAATCCTCTTCATTAGTGGACTGGTAAGAGTTCAGTAGTTTGAATGTGACTATATTCTAATCATAAATACCCTCTTTGGTGTTATTTATGTAGTTTTCCCTAATTTATCTATACTTGTACGAACTGTTACATGAAGTACATTGCTTGCGGGCGCAGGAGAAAAGCGCGCGAAAACAGTGTCACGAGTTTTTATCTTTATCGAGTTTTGGTATTATCAGTGTGTTATATATTTGTATTGTTGATTATAAAGGAGCAAATAACGTCACAATAACTTGTAAGTAATCCTGTTTCTAGGATCGTTAAGTATCTTTACACACACTAATTTTTGAGTAAACTAACTAATAATGTAACATATTTTAGCGAATCTAGTGCAGACTAGTGCAGTCGTCAGTGCTGAATAAAAGTATTGTGAAAAGTCGAATTTACGAGAATTGAAGTTTACATCATTCGAAGTTATTTTATGAGAATAGCTAGACACGATGCCACCTAAGAAGGCTAAAGCTACAGAGGCAACAAAGCAGCATGTTGTAGTCAATGAAGATGTCAACGCTACGGAAGTATTGGAATCTAAAGTGGAAACACCAAAGGCCTGTATTGATAAGGGTAGTGGTGAAAAGGTTAAAGGACCATTATTAAATACAGAGACGGTGATCGTAGGTACCAATGAAGCCGAAGTAGTAGAAATTAGAGAAGAATCAGATAGCAACGAGCCAAAACAAAGGAACTATGATGATGAATTAACACATGATAAAGAACTAAGGTTTGAAATGGCGGTTAATGCAAAACATGAAAGATCTATATGTATGGAAGAATTTCGAAGGGAACTTAGCATGTTACAGCATCTAACAAAGGATTTCGAAACAAAACCAGAAGAGGTAAATGCAAGAAGGGACAGGTATGAACAAACATTTCATAAATTTGTTATTAGTCACGAGAATTATATGCAGCATGAAGATGACTTAGAGAAGAAAGACTTAATGACTGACAATTATAATGATCAACGCGATGTCAAACTACAACTAGATTACATGGTAGATCTGTGGCAAACCAATCGAGAAAGATATCTAAAGCCCCCATCAGAATCTGGATATAGTTTGGCATCTCGTAAAAGCAGAAGTAGTCGAACATCTAGTAGAAGCAGTGTGAAAGAAAGAAGGAAGGTTATGGAAGAGGCAAAGTTGAAAATGCAGACCTAAAGGAGAAACAGGAGCTAGAGCGCCAACTTGAAGTAGCTGAGCAAAGTAAGACGGAGCTTTCCAGGAAGATTAAATTACTGAATGCTGAAGCAGAGCTAAAGCAGGCAAAGATTGATTTTGTTATTGATCAGATTCCAGATGACGAAGGTGTCGATGGTATGAATGAATACCTACGAGACTTTCAAGGTCCAACTTGCCCTGAAAAATCCGAAATTCCCTACCCCAGTCAACCTAAATTTGTCCCTGAGTACCCACCAACCCCTCATTCTCCAGCAGCACAGGTACAACCACCTGCACCATTGCTCCATAACCATCCTAGCCCTGAACCCAGACCGTATGTACCCAACCTAGCGACAACTGAGTCGGACAGATTCGATATTCCCAAAGTAGGACTAGATGTCACGAGGAATGAATTTTATCCAAATGCTAATCACGAAGCCACAAATACCTTGCAAGAAGAACCAGCACCGCCACCCCAACCGCAGCTAGATGTATGGAACTCCATAGCACAGGCCATAAAGGAAGGCCCTTCTTTACCCAAAATAGAGCTTGTGAGATTCGGTGGTGACCCCTTGGAATATGTCGAGTTTGTGACAAGCTTTAAAGATAACATAGAATCCCAAGTTTCTGATGACTCCCAGCGGTTCACTCGCCTGTTAGCGCAGTGTGTCGGCAAAGCGAAGTATGCAATCCGAAGTTGCGTCAACCTTGATGTCGGCCAGAGATATAAGGAAGCAAAGAGTTGTCTTCTTGAGAACTTTGGCCAGCCTCACATTATAGTAGAAGCTCATATGAAAAAGCTCAGAGAACTTCAAATTAGAAAAACTGATGCGAATGCCTTGATGGAGTTTGTGCGTCACCTAGAAGATTCTGAGAGAGCATTAAAGAGCATGGGATCCAGCTACTCCAATCGGTTAGACAATGAAGATGTAATAGTTATGTTGATGAGGAAACTCCCCGAAGATGGCTTAAAGAGGAAGTGGGTGGACAGAGCTGGAGACCTTATCAAGAGCAAAGACTATGTACAATTCGATGACTTTGTAAATTTCTTGAAGAAAGTGGCAGGGCGTATAAACAACAGGTATGGGAGAGAGCTTAAGCAAGCCAATGAAGACAAGAAATTTCAGAACAGGTCAAGATTCGAGCAGCAAAGGAGAGTTAACGCAAACGCAATTCAGGGTGGTTTGAATAAGGAAGATACACCTGTAAGAACTGGTCGTAAGTGCCCCCAGTGCTCTGGACCACACGGTGTCTGGAGGTGCCAAGTATTCAAGTCATGCATCTTAAAGGATCGTCTGAGAACTGTGAAACAACACAAACTTTGCAGAATATGTCTCGGCGAAGGCCATTTTGCGAGGTCATGCAAAAGTGGATTCACCTGCCGTGTAGCCGGATGCGGAAAACATCACCATTATCTAATCCATGATGATCAAGACGCTAAAGGGGAACACTCCACCAATCAAGATAACGAGATGCAAAGTCACGACGGTTTAAAGAAGGATGCTGGGACCCAAAGTATTACAGCCGATGATAGACAGAATCAGGTAAATCTACATATGTCTACAACAACGACAGCCGGAACGTCAAAAGAGCGAGTCAACATTAGCGCAGTCAAAGCAAGTCGACCACGGGTTTGTTTTAAGGTAGTACCGGTCAAGGTGAGCAACCCTACCAGTGACAAGGAACTTGTTACGTACGCATTTTTAGACAGTGGATCCGATACGACTCTTTGTCTGGAAAGTTTAGTTGAAGAGCTATCAGTGATTGATGCGAAACCGGCTAAATACACTATGACGACAGTGAACTTGCAACAACAGAAGGCAGGCTATGAGGTACGGTTGGACATCGAATCGGTATCGAGCAGTGAAAAGTTCCAGCTTGAAGGTGTACTAACCACAGACAGCTTACCAGTGACTCCGAGACACGTAGCGACCAACAAAGAAGTTCAAGAGTGGCCTCATCTGCAGGACATTGTCTTACCCGAAACTGGAGATGAACAGGTTACCATTTTGATAGGAAGTGATCGACCTGATATAATTGATAATTTTCTCGACCGAAGAGATGGAACAAAAGGGCAACCATGTGCAGTTAAGACACCTCTAGGATGGACAGTGTATGGTCCAATGGGAGAACCTCGATGCGAGCAAGTGTCCATTAATTCCGTTAGGTCAGAATTCGACATTCTCGACCATAAATTAGAGCGTATGTACAACGCAGAGTTTGATGACATCAATGACGATATTGATGAGAACATGTCCGTTGAAGATCGCTACGCAGAAGAAATCATGAACAAAACCACCGTATTGAAAAATGAGCATTACGAGATCGGACTTCCCTTTAAACACAACCCACCACAACTCCCAGATAGTCTTTACACAGCTGAGAAGCGATTAGAATCCTTAAAATCGAAGATGGAGAGAAACGAAAACTTCCGTAAGAAATACAGCAGCGTTATGGCGAAATACCAAGAAGAAGGAGCGGCGAGAGAAGTCCCCGAGGAGGAATTAACAATGCTCAAACCATTATGGTACCTCCCTCATCACGCAGTCTGGCACCCAAGGAAGCCTGAGGAACCTAGAGTAGTTTTCGATTGTGCTAGCAAGAGCAACGGAACTTCGTTGAACGATGAACTGTTGCGTGGGCCAGAAAACACTAGTTCCCTCATTGGCGTGATACTGAGATTCAGAGTTGATAATATAGCCGTAACCGCTGACGTGAAGAGAATGTTTCATCAGGTCTATGTTAAACCTGAGCATCGCGGAGCACTGTGTTATCTTTGGTGGCCCGATGGTGACATCTCGAAGGCGGCTAAGACGCATCAGATGCTCGTCCATATATTTGGAGCGAAGTCCTCACCAAGTGTTGCAGGGTATGCTCTCAGAAGAACCGCGAAGGATAACCTCTACGAGTATTCGTCAACTGCTGTGGACGCAGTTCTGCGTGATTTCTACGTCGATGACCTTTTAAAGTCGTTTTCCGAAATGGACGAAGCAAAACTCGTAAGTAAAGAGCTACAGAGCTTACTAGCGAAGGGAGGATTTCAGCTCACCAAGTGGAATTCGAACTCGCGAGAAGTGCTGGAAGAATTCTCAACCGAAGAAAGAGCACCGGTGGTTAAAGATTTGAATCTTGAATCCGAAGCATTGCCCATGGACCGTGCGCTTGGCGTTAATTGGGATGTAGAAAGAGACACGATAAGCCTGGTCGTCAATAACAAGACGGAACCGAACAATCGCAAGGGTGTGTTATCCTCGATTGCAACTGTTTACGACCCCTTGGATTTGCTAGTCCACTTATCCTACCAGCTAGAGAGATCAATCAAGAATTGTGTAGATTGAAGTTCGACTGGAACAGTGAACTTCCCAAGGAATTACACGCTCGGTGGACGAAATGGAAGGAAGGCTTGGCCAGCCTAGACAGATACGAAGTACCAAGATGCTTTAAACCGAAAGAATTCGGACAGATCGAGCAGGTAGAGCTTCATCACTTCGCCGACGCTTCTCAAGAACATGGCTACGGTACAGCATCGTACTTGCGTCTTGTGAACGAGAAAGGAGAAATCCACTGTTGTTTTGTTATGGGAAAGTCTCGAGTCAAACCCCTCAACAAGGCAGTCACGGTTCCCAAATTAGAACTGACAGCAGCTACTTTGGCCACGCGTATGAACAAGATTATCGTTAAGGAGTTACGAGGCAGACTAAAGATCGACCGAATAATGTTCTGGACTGATTCGATGATCGTTCTGAAATATATAGCCAACGAGACACGGCGGTTCGTTACGTTCGTCGCAAATCGCGTTGCTGCCATCCGTCAGGAATCAACACCCGAACAGTGGCGCCACGTAAGATCGGAGTTTAACCCAGCGGATTATGCGTCGAGAGGAATTCAAGCTTTCGAGACAGATAAACTAGAGCGATGGAAACGCGGACCAGAGTTCCTCTGGAAACCAGCCGATGAATGGCCTTCCCAACCCACAGATCTGACAGACGGTCTTGATGAGAATTCCGAAGGCGTGAAGAAGGAAAAGGTCGTAATAAGCGGAACAGCTGTGCAAGGCGAATTTTGGAGTTCATTGTTTCAACGATTTTCAACTTGGGAAAGACTTCGAAGAGTTGTCGCCTGGCTGATCAGAGCGTGTCACAAACGAACGTTGCATAATTCTAACGAAATGAGAAGCAATGACAACAAGAAGGGCGTCCAAAAACAAGGTAGACCATTGTTATCAGTATCCGAACTCGAAGAAGCTGAAAAGAGAATAATTGAGCACGTTCAGCGAGAATCATTCCCGGACGATGCGGAGACGGCAAAGAAAGGTAGCCTTGCCCAACTTAAACCGTTCAGAGAAGAAAAACTGCTTCGATTGGGAGGAAGATTAGAACGATCGAGCTTAAGCTATGACGCCAAACATCCTTTTATATTGCCGAAGGACCACCCGGTATCAGAATTGATCGTATTGCATTATCACCATCTTAACGGACACGTAGGAAGTTATCAGACATTAGCAAAAACGAGAGAGCGGTTTTGGATCACCAATGGCGTTTCGTATGTGAGACGTGTTCTCAAGAGTTGCCAAGTTTGTAAACGAGAAAACGCGAGATTAGGAGAGCAAATGATGGCACCGCTGCCAAGCGTGAGAGTATCGTCAGATAACGATGGAATCGCGTACCCATTCGCGGCAGTAGGCGTAGATTACTTTGGACCTCTGTACGTCAAGCTTGGCCCTAAAACGAGATCGAAGAAGAATGAGACATTAGGAAAGCGCTTTGGATGTATCTTCACATGTTTACGATACCGAGCAGTACACATCGAAGAAGCAGAAGACTTATCGACCGATAGTTTCATCAACGCCGTCCTACGCTTTGTTGGTCGAAGAGGTGCACCTCGCATCATCTACAGCGACAACGGCACCAATTTCAAAGGATCAGAAGCTGACGTGATCGAAGCTTTGAAGTCATGGGACGTGGAAAGGATCCAAGGTTCGCTATCACGCAGAAGTGTTGAATGGGTGCTCAATCCCCCGTTAGCTAGTCATCAAGGAGGCGTTTGGGAACGCTTAATACGTTCAACTAAGAAGATTTTGCGCTCGTTGGTCGGACAACGCGAACTAAATGACGAAAGTTTACGTACACTCATGGTAGAAGTCGAGAAAATAATGAACGACCGACCAATTACGCCAGTCTCAAGTGACCCACACGATTTAGAAGCACTTACCCCTAATCATATACTCCTTCTACGTCAGAACCCTTCAACGTCAGCCGGTGAGTTTAACGGATTGGACAAGTTCAAGGCAAGATGGAAACACGTTCAGATGTTAGCAGATACGTTCTGGGAAAGATGGAAAAATGAATATTTGCCCACTTTACAGGAAACTCAAAAATGGTTGAAGAAGATGCCCAATTTCAGTGTTGGAGATTTGGTACTGATGGTTGACAAGGATGTTCCTCGTGGTCAATGGCCGAAAGGATTGGTCGAGCAAGTGTTTCCCGACACTGAAGGAGTTGTACGTCGAGTGGTAATCCGAACAGCAGATGGCGTCTACCGAAGAGACGTGAGAAAGCTATGCCTCCTAGAAGAGAAACTGATGAAATGCATGGAAGATCAGGAACATATTGATGAGTGAACGGATAAGTGACCAGTTGTTGCATAGTAACTAGTAGTATCATTAAGTAACTATTTCATTTAGATTGTTTATATTAAGATTGAAAGACTCCTCCGTCGTCTTTCGGGGGGGAGCGTGTACGAACTGTTACATGAAGTACATTGCTTGCGGGCGCAGGAGAAAAGGGCGCGAAAACATTGTGACGGGTTTTATCTTTTATCGAGTTTGGTATTATCACTGTGTTATATATTTGTATTGTTGATTATAAAGGAAAAATACCTCACAATAACTTCGAATCTAGTGCTGACTAGTGCAGTCGTCAGTGCTGAATAAAAGTATTGTGAAAAATCGAAGTTAACGAGAATTGAAGTTTACACATATGATATTAATATTTTTGCTGATTATACAGTGCGCAGCTGCTTGGGTTGAGTTAAACTGGGTTCAATTTAGTTCTATAGTGCAAACTTACAAGTGGATATGACCAAATTACATACTTAGCCTTAGACTATTTTATCTTTACAACAATTGTGATATTGCTTTCTTAACTGTGTTTATCCTAACCCACCCTGTCAACTTTCTCTGTGAGAGGAAATCGCAGCACCCGCAAAAGGCCACGAATTTCGGCAGAGCGTGAACTGACTCCACATGAGTCCATAGCGAGAATCGCACCCACGAAATCAGAGGTGAAAGGCGCTTGCTCTGACGGCTATGCCACCGAAGCCCTTGATGTATATTTCTTTGTTTTTGTAAATACACAGCTGTCCCCCAGTTGTGCAAGTTGTAGTTGTAACGTCAGGCAAGTTGGGCAAGTTGTAAACCTCCCGCCCCAAAAAAACAGTCTGAAATTCAGTTTTGACTGTTGGTTAGTTTGTATTGACCTTTGTTACTGCGGATTCAGTTAGACCGTTTAATGCGAATAGTTGTCGCGTTAGTTTTAACAGTTGTACGATGACGTTTCTAGGCAGATTTTCGACGTTTCTAAGGCGTGGCTTCAACGTTTATTTTTAAAATTTGAACGTTGTAATTACAAGGTAATTGCTAAATAGTATACTTTTTTTTCGTTTTTCGTTTTTATAACGTAGAAAAAATCATCCTAACGCAAAACTAAACCCTAACCTAACCCTAGCTTATTTAAAAAATTGATATAAAAACGGAAACCTTATTTTGAAGTATACTATCTGGCAATTACCTTGTAATTACAACGTTCAAATTTTAAAAATAAACGTTGAAGCCACGCCTTAGAAACGTCGAAAATCTGCCTAGAAACGTCATCGTACAACTGTTAAAACTAACGCGACAACTATTCGCATTAAACGGTCTACCTGAATCCGCAGTACTTTCTCGAAATTATGTATCGATCAATTCGAAACTTGACCATCCCCGGGCATACCCCGGGAATTTGACTTCAAGTCTTCTCCAGGGAGCAGTGCTCTCACTTTTAAGGAATTATCCTTAAAAATAGGAATTTTGAAGAGTTTTAAGGATTAGTTTAAGGAACTTAGGTTTTTGAGGATTTTTTTAAGGAATTTCTGAAACATTTTATCCTGGACTAAAAACGTTGGATGGAGGATAACCACGCCACGCAAAGAGATTTAAACTTGAAAGTAGCGACATTATACGCACATAATTACATATATTCGTATGTTCTTTATGTCATAAATGTACATATGGCTGTCTTTTCCAGTGGCGGACATTAGGGGTGGGGTGGGGGGGGGGGGCTGAGCCAATAATTTTGAAAGACTGTTAAAGATGCGGTACAGTCCGTATGTAAACAAAGGCTTCGTTTACATTTCGGTATCCAAATGATTGAATTTTATTCAACAACTATTTATATTTTCATGATTCTAGAGTATAATAAATTAAGAAGAGACAACAATCAAGCTTTGCAAGAACATAAAACGAAATAAAAACCTAAATAAACTGTTTGTAAATAAAATGAGGGCTCCTTTGTGCACATGCGCAGATCGGACTGTACCGCATCTTTAAAATCTTGTACCAATTAAATAACACAAATCACACTCATATAACGTAATTGTCATCATGATATAATAGTATATTATGTTTCTGTACATGACTTGGCATGTGATTTATAACAAAACGTACCATTAAAACAGTGTTTTGAAACCCTAGTTTTTTACAAAATGTGTTCTCAGAACGCTGCAAATGCCATTTCCGGGACTCAAATTTTAAAATTTTTCCATGCCTTCGGCACGAGGCCCCCAATAGTTCGTAAAGTGTCCGCCACTGGTATTTTCATTAAAATTCTCAAAAGTTAAATGTCAGTATATGCTGTTTCTTCTGAAATCTACAGTCCTACAGATTTTTTAAGCTCTTCATGCAGCAACGATTAAAAATACACCATGTTGAATGTTTTCTTTATGGCATTATGCTAACAATCAAATGTTTTCAATTTTTAGTGCTTAGAAACAAGGTTAAAAACTGAAAAACAGAAAAAAGGAGGAAAAAACACTTTGTAACTGTGTGATCAGGCCTTGTGGTAATTTTACCAATTTAAGGAATTTTAAGGAAATCTGAAGAATTTTCGAGCTTTTTCTAAGGAATTCGAAAATTTGATTGTGAGAGCACTGCCAGGGAGTAGGGAATTTGACGTTCTAGGTCTTCCATGTGGTGGGGCTACTGAGGTGGGGCATTTGATAACGCCAACGGGGTGGGGAATTTGAACCGGAAGTCTTAAAATTTTGCCCGTTTTCGCGTGCTTCCTGCATGCACAGAAAATACTTCGCATTGGCGGCAAATACAGTTTTCTCAGATTTCGAGAGAAACGGCCTCAATTTTGTGAAAAACTGGCTCAAAGAAACGGGCATGGAAAATCTATGTGTTTCATTTGAAGGTATGTACTACATAATTGTGTAAAACTGTTAAATTTCCACAAGGTATCCAAACTTTTTACGCCAATTTCGCTATCTTGTCGAAAAACATTTCCGTATATTTTGTACTTTTTGTATTTACTGTTTCATAATTTTCATATGAAGGTGGGGCATTTGAACGCTTAATTTCTTGTTACAGTGGGGCATTTGAAGACATTTTTTGCACAGGGGATGGAGAATTTGATCAGTCAAATTTCAAAATGTTCAAATTCCCGGGGTCGGCCCGGGAGGGGATGGTGAAGTTTCGAATTGATCGATACATTACCCGGTGAAATTATAATTTGGGCGGGTTTAATTAATAGAAGCAGTGTGACCAGGTTTTTTCAGGCCAAATTACCACATCCGGTTTCAAAAATTACTATTTTCGGTCTGAAATTACCACGGTGCTATATTTTCCCAATTTTACCATATTTTTTCGAAAAATTCCCCAAAAATGTTGGCGAGCGGGGGGGGGGAGGTCGAAAAAAATTTTTCCGGACAAAAATTTTTCCGGACAAGTTCCTCGTAAATTAGGGTGAAAAAAATTTTTCCGGAAAAATTATAATTAAAACAAGGCCAAAACCGGTTTATTTCGCCTAAAACAAGGCCAAAACCAGTTTTTTTTCACAAAATTTGTAACATTTAGGGGTTTTTCACCAAAATCTGTACATTTAAGGTCAGGAAATTTCAAATTACCACAATCGGCCGAAATTTGACGAAAAATTACCACGGTTGTTCTGAAATTACCGTAGTAATTACCACAAATTTCCAATTACCACAATTGCCCAAAAATGACGAAAAATTACCACGGTAGTAATGAAATTACCACGTCTGGTCACACTGAATAGAGGGTCAAAGATCCAAAATATCCATGCAAGATGAAGTACTAATCCGGTTCTCGCATGCGGGCCACTGAGCTATAGTGATGCGGGCTCATTTTTGTCAATTGTGAAAAGATGGCCGCAAGATACAGTTTAGAAGTAAGTATTGCTTTTTAAAGTTATTTTAGTCACTCTTTCGAAGTTGTGTCTTAATATTTACCCTTTGCAGAGTTAATATAGGACGTATGCGTGGTGTTGATATCCATTACGTTCGTCAGTGAAAGAAAGTATCCAGTTATTTGCCAAAATCGTTTTTGCATTGTCATTTAGCCCATTTATATAAATACATTCAAGTCTAGACCTTTTCATGGTCATCACTTGTTTCCATCTACCAAACTGACGTGACGTCATTTTCGGAAGATGGAAGAGGTGTTAATTAAATGGCTATGTAATAAACCCTACCCCTACTCTATAAACCTCTAACTGACTAACCCTGACCAAGTTAATAAAAAAAATCCAAAAAGAAACAACTTTAGAAATTGATCAAATGACGTAATGTCAGTTTGTTAGATGGAAACAAGTGAAAACCCCTTTTCATATGTTCAAACGAGGCCAAGTAAACAGTAAACACGATAAGCCTTTCTCACACCATTTGTGGGTGGAAAACATTGCAGAATGACAATATGTGAAGCCCAGTGAAGGAATTATTTACACTTTTTACAGTTGTGATTAACCATAGTGCATTTTTGTACAGTCTGATCTGTGCACGAGCCCTCTTTTTATTATACAAACAGTTTATTTAGGTCTTTATTTCATCCTACTGTATGTTCTTGCAAAGCTTGATTGTTGTGTCTTGATAATTTCTTATACTCTGGAATCATGAAAATATAAATAGTTGTCAAATAAAATTCTATATTTTTTATACCGAAATATAAACAAAGCTTTTGTTTACATATGGACTGTACCGCATCTTTAAGACCAGTGTGGAAAGTTTGTGTCACATGGCAGAGATATCAGCCATGCAATTTTGATGCTTTCTATTTATTTAATAAATTATCTAAATTTCCAGCACGCAATCCAAACTTTCCAGTCAGGGGACCTCCTGCCACAGATCTGTGACAGGAGGGAATGCTGGGAAACTCCCGCCAAGTAACATTTAGCAGAAGGTTTGGAAACATTTAGTAGGAAGTAAAGCTAATTGGGTAGATAATAAGTGGAAGCTTTTGTTTTGTAAAAAGATGATAATTTTTGCTAAACAATGGCTCACTGCCATTGTTGGCAAGTAAAATAAGTATAAAACATAAAAGGTCTGGAAAGTTTGTTCAATGAATTACTAGTATGACATGGCGGAGCACCCATCTGGGGGAAATGTGGCTGACAAAAATTATAGAATGCATACTGGGTGATTGAAGTAAATGGTACTCATTAAATATATACTGTGTTTCTACTTTACTAAATTCATTCCCAGGCCTCGAATTTAGCGGCGGCCACTGGCCGTCGATGCCCTGCTTGTTGGCCGCTATGCCCTCGAAATATAGTGAAATCCACGGCCAGTAGTGGCCTGCCCTCAACCCCAGACTACAGTACTTAGGCTTTAGAATACCAAGTGTATGATTTGTAAAATTGCCAATAAATTTAAAATAGTATTTAAATGTACCTTTCCATCAGTCTATCTGTTGAATCATGTATTAAAATATCCATAGTTTTGTTTGGCATTTTTTTTTTAATATTGTTGCTGTCCTGTATATTTTTCTTGTCTCATGGAAATTCAAACGTTATTTGAAACTTCAAAATAGCAACTGAATAAAATTTTGGCCTTGAATCTTGATGTCCTGTGTACTGGCCTTGATGCCCTGAAAAAGTTAGTAACATTCAAGGACAAACTGGCCTTGCCTTTATTTTTCTCAAATTCGAGGCCTGCATTCCTTCTCTTGTTGCCTTCTACTTTCCTCGTGTGGTTTGCCACCAGTGGTGCCTAAATTACTGTAAAATTTTTACTCGAGTAAAAGTAGAAGTAATTGACAATAAAACGACTTGAGTAAGAGTAAAAAGTACTGGAAGCAAAACGTACTTAAGTAAAAAGTACAAAGTATCCTTCAAAAATACTTAAAGTAAAAGTACTATTGTCTGTGGCATGTAGGGGGGGGACTTCTTCATTGATGGATTGAGATACAAAAAAAAACACAAAACAGTACACACATTATAAATATGCAATATTTCACGGCATGGTCTACTTTCCAGACCCCGTTGAAGATATAAGAAATCCATTAAATAAATAATGCTTATAAGTAAGCCACAAACGAGAGATCCCAGACGCATGTAGAGGTCCTAGTACCTTCCCAAAATTAAAATAAATCATGTAAAATTAAATAAAAGTTAGAGAAAGTAACGAAATACTTCTCCACAAAATGAAAATAACGAAGTAAAACGTTACTTGTTAAAACAACTTCGTTCCAAGTAAAAGTACTCCAGAAAAAGTTTACTTTGTTACATGCTGACTTCTCAAAAATAGTACTTAAGTACAGTAACGAAGTACATTTACTTCGTTACTTGACACCAATGTAAGTGGTAGACAAGTCCAGGTCGCATAGTGTTAGCCTGTGTGGCAGGCGGTTTTTAGGGAGGCGATCAGAGACCCCTGACAGCATCAAAGCTTTTTATAAATGTCATTAATTAAGTAAATATTCAAATTAGCCACTCCCATCCTATTGTCATTTAATAGGCCACATAAAATAAATTCCTTGATTCTCATCACCGCCTGACTGGCCCTGACTGTATTTTAAATTTGACTTATATTTCGTTATACAATATAAATGTACCGCCTGACAAAATAATTCAAGACAGTTAAGTTTTTTATATTTTATATTGGGTTTTTAGTGCCATTTTAAACTGCCAATTTCAAACAAACAGAATCCTGAAAGAAATTTCATTGCATTTTATGCATTTAGTTCAAACCTCAAGGGTTCAGTCATTCAGTCGTGGAAATACGTTGGAAATTACAGAAATGTGTAATGTAATATGTTTATTTCGGTTTGTGGCACTTCACTTCGAAAATCACAGAAATATTAAATGTTCGGAATTATTTTTTATTTGTTGATAATCCTACCAAGTCTCACGATTTAATCGCGAGACTCACAATTTTTTATGCTTTGTCACGATCTCACGATTAAATCCCCAAATCTCACGATTTTCGGCAAAATCTCTGCTAAAACCACAAGTGATTCCAAACACCTGTGGAAAAGAGACATATGCTATTATTTCGTGAGACTTGACACTGGAAGCTACTGAAGCCATAAAGAAAAAACAGCCTATTTTTAATACGCCTTGCATTACGTACGGTTATGTTAACAAAATATAAATGCATACTATCATAAGATTGAATATCTATTGATTATTTTCTAGTGTTGTTACAGGTTAACCCTGCCCCTGGTCATATTAATGAGAAAACCTGAAAATTTCTAAGTCTCGCGATTTTTCAGTCAATCTCACGACTTTTTAGATAGCAACTCACTATTTCTGCTACCCAAGGGTTGGCAGGTCTGTCAGATATATAAATTATATAAATATAAAATATAAACCTTAACCTCCCGCCTCTGCGACATTTTCAAAGTGTAGTGATGAGAAAGAGTTTATTTTATGTGGCCTTAAACCAGGTCGAAGTTGTGAAGAAATTTCTCCTAATTTCTCCATACCTTTCGCCGATCATAACTTCGGCCCCTTCGGACGTATCTTCTTCGTAATAGTCTTGTTCGAAACACTATTTAGAGTATTATTTTCGAGCTTGTGTCTATAAATTTGCATCTTTTATTATCGTATTCCATTTCTGGTCTGACTGTGAACTAATTTCAAGACGTCAAAACATTTGGTTAACGATTAACATTTAACCGTTGATTGACAACTACCTAAAAATACTAACCAATCCTTTTTTTCCGTTCACCAGCGGACGGGCAATTCAAAAACACCTAGTTTTGCGGCAGACGGTTTTCCTTTTCCTCCCTAATTTTCGCTGCCCGTAGAAAAACCACCTGCCACGCAGGCTAGCATAGTGTGAGAATGGCTAATTGAGTGAGATCCACATATTGTTGCATCTAGGGTGAGGTGGTTAATCAATAAACCGGAGGAAAACGATTCAACCAATGTTGTTCTAGCAAAAAAAAACCCGGGAAAAATACAGAAAAAACTGGTTGAATATTGAAACAAATACTTCCACATATTAGTGCAAAATTGTGAAGCATTGAAGCTAAGCAGAAAAGCGGATCACTTTACCATTAATACTGGGCTGTTGCGGTATTTGAAAAAAACAGAAACTGGGAAAAAATACCGATATATCTATATTTTTCGCGATTGTGTTGCTTAATTTGATGCAAAATTTTCTGTTTTCAAATTACGCCAAACAACCGCGATATACCAAGAGAAATGTCCGTTTTGGGAATTGAAAATGCATACTTGCATTGATTATCCGCACTCAGGAAGAATCATGTGTTATATTTTTGGCCGGGAAATTTGTTTCAAAACATGTTATTCAACTGCAAATTCGAAACAAAGATTGTCCTATATCACCAGATAAATAATGTCCAATGAGGTTACATAGTTTTTGTTTTTTTTCTAAAAGTTCACTTTTTGACCGGCGAAATGACATATTACACCTTGCAACCTCAACGTGAGAAAACACATTTTAGCTCTCGCTCTAACCTTAATTATGGATTTTCCCACAGAGTTAGCACATTGATCGATAATAATATAATAATTAAATAATAATAATTTATTAAAAACCAATATTGCAGCAATAGCTGAATTACATTGGATGAACTAATTACATAATCTACATATTAAATTGATGCACAGATGCAGGAATAAAAGAATTTCTAAATCTATTAGTAGAATAGCGAGGTTCAACAAAAAGCCGCTTGTGTCTTAATAAGTATCTAGCATTAACGTTAAAAGTTGGTAAAAGATTGTACAATTTGTGGTTTGGATCGTTAATAATTGACCTGAATAATTTCTGACAGAGAGCTTGACGTCGATCAGACAAGGGGCTGAGCTTTGTAATCTCCAAGCCATCACTGTAGGATATTTCCGGTCCTAAGATGATGAAAAGGGCTCTTTTTTGAATACGTTCAAGATCGTCGCTTAGACATCTTGGCAGCGCATAATGGAAAGCAGGGGCAGCATATTCGATGATACTGCGAATACATGAACAATAGAAATAGATCATATCGCCACATGCGAGGTACTAGCTTTGGCACGTTCAGTGGCGTAACGGGAGGGTGTCAGGGTGTCCAGAGATGGGGGGCCCCCGAACTTTAGGGGCCCCAAACAAAAATGACCTTAAAAAATTTGATAGCACATTTCTGGGGAATTGAATTAATTGAATTGAATTGAATAAAAAAAACCCATTCTCTGGAAAAGGCAAAATCCGTCGAGAAATTTCCCGAAGCTGCGACGGATTAAGTACGTCGCGGCTGAGGTAAAGGACGAGATACTAGAATGAATTAATTGCAATTTCATTGGATATGTCCGGAAAAAATTTTGGACCCCTAATGATACAATTGTTCCGAGAAAAATTTTTGGAGCCTATTTTTAGTGTTGCAAAGGGGCCCAAAGTGGCCGATTGACGGAGGGCCCCCAGCGGTTGCGTTACGCCACTGGGCACGTTTAAGCAGTCAGTCAGTCAGTCAAATCTTTATTTAAGCACGGTAGCTTCATCAGGTTTACAAAAAAGTTATCTATACATTAATAAGTTTAAAAAAATTTTTCACGCCTATGTTACATTAATATTTATACCTGTTTTCCATGAATGCCGTGTCTATCGAATATGATGTTTCAACAATTGTCGAAATTCAGTAAGAGATTCCGCTTGTCTTATATTGCTAGGTAAGCTGTTCCATAACACTGCACCACTATAGCTAAAGCTATTTTTAAGATAATTGGTGCGGGGTAAAGGAGCAGCAAGTTTGTTCACGAAGTCTCAAAGTATATAAGAAGTTACATTATTGCGATTAGTAAATTTAGAACATAGATATTCGGGTGCAAGGTTATTTAAAGATTTGAAAACCATCAATGCTTTTTGAAATTGGCGTTGTTGGTTTAGATCATCCCACCCTAGCTTTTCCAATAAGCTATTGGCATCGGCGTCAAAGTTGGAAAAGGTCAACACCCGCATTGCACGGTTTTGAAGTTTTTGAAGTTTGTTAGATAACGTTTTCCCACAATTTCCCCACACGACATTACAATAATCAAAATGTGGTTGTATTAGAGCTTGGTAAATATGCCTCAAGAAGTACAAACGTTTGGAAGTTCTTTTAATAACACACTCTATGTGACTTTTCTATTTCATTTTGGGGGTTATTATCAGCACTTGAAAAAGCTTGATATGAGTAGCTTGCATGCATGACGTTTAAATATACAAACGTAAACGTGATATCAATTAGACAATAATTCCGAAAAATATCGATATTCCAATATATCGAAAATTTCAATATCGAATAGTCAGTATTTATAAAAAAACGATAATTATCAGTCTATCGATATACCGCAACAGCCTATAGTTAATACAATTGTTTTTAAAACGAAATTATTGAAGGTGTTGCGTGAAGTTTAATTTAACTGCATGTATAGTATATTTTGACATAAGTAATAAAAAAATTATTTGTTTTTTTTTCAGCCAGTTGGCCCAGTTTTTCGGTTTTTACCCTAAACCAGCTCACCTTAGTTACATATTATGAAACATTGTGTGTTCATGACTCATGAGAGATGAGCCAGATATTTGCGTAGATAAGATCTCCAGATCATTAAAGTGTATGAGCATGCATGCAAGTGCCACTCACAGCCACCTTTTGAATTTGTGCCTGCACAAATCTTGTTAAAATCCTGACATTTTAATTTTAACTATGGCCAGTACCTCTCAAAACCTAAAATTGCAGCTATGCTCTGAAATTATGATTTTGCTTGCAGGCACTAAATAATACGGCCTGAAGGTCTCACCCTGGCTCTTGTGCTAGATAGGATCAAAGGGCTGATTACATGGATCCCGGTTTCCCGGGCTGAAATTTCAGCCAGGCCTAAGGATAAAATCCTATTAAAACACAGCAAGCGATTACATGACAGAAACTTCAGCCCGGTTGAAGCTACCTGGCCTGAAAATTTCGTCCCAGTTGACTGGGCTGAAAATCGTCATGTAATCGACGGACATTTAACTCAATTCCCGAGCTGAAATTTGCCATGTAATCGTGAAACAATTTCAGCTCAGTTAACCAGCGTGAAATTCAACCTAGGCTGAAAACTCCCCATGTAATCAGCCCCTAAGTCAAGTGGGTTAACTATATATTTGTTAAAATGTCAGAATTTTTGAAATTAATGTAGCTGTTCAAATTCAAAACTTGCACTTAATGGTGCCTTTCACATTACATGCTTCATCAGGGTAAACAGCTTTGCTTATTTTGATATATCGGTACTGATGTTAGGTAGTGTAGCTTGAAAATATAAACAAGAAAATTAAACATTAATAAACCTAAACATGCAGTAAACAGTACAGTTATGCAATTTACTGAATCACAACAAAAATATAACCTGTTTTTTACAGGGAAAAGAGCTTCCATCATTACTACCGAAACAAAAACCTCTTAGTGAAACCAAAGTGAAGGAAGGTCACTATGGACCTGTGCCCGATACTTTAAGACAAGGGTAAGAGTATACATGTAAACTGTATGTGTAGAAAATTGGTTAGTGAGAATGTTTTAAACCTGAGGATTACTGTATATTTTTTGTATATACAGTACATGCACTACTTGTAAATATTGTGTGCATGTGAAACTCATGTGAAATACAAACAAACATGCTGTTTGTGAAACTCTTTCCAAACAAAAGTGTGAACTTTGCTGTAGTTAAAAGCATAAAAAGTTATAAAATCCACAACGATACTTGGATGTGATGTTTCAGGAAACGATAATATAAATAAACAACACAGAATGTGATGTTATTAAAATTATATAAAAAGGGCCAACGTCTTTGTTAGACCTTAGGGTGCCATGCAGAGGGTTTTGTATATTTGACCCTTGTGTGGCAATGCCCTGGTATGCCCTACTGTTAATACCAGGCGATTTTACTCGCCAAGGGGAGAGTGCTGCCACTCATTGGGTTAATTCAATACTTTTTTAAAGCACATTTAATAAATTATCTTGTGTATACCAAAGCGTACCAAAGTTTGTCAAATCTACAGTACATTTAATTTATCTCCAATGTGGTATGGTATTTACAGTATATATGTTTGTTTTTAGATTTTCTAGTGTACAGAATGATCTATCATGCTCACACCCTCTTGAGTATTCAGAGAGAAATGTATGTATCATTTGTGTTTCTAACACATCAGGCAGCAAGATTGCATATAAGAACCCATTACCTGAATGAAAAACTGATCTGACATTAAGATCAATAATTGTTTACATGCATCTCTGTTTAATAACACAACACACCTTACACAGGTCCTTCATTGATAACAGAACTTTGTCCCAATTTTTCGAGTTTCTCAATGCAAGGAACTTTCCACAAGTGCACCTATAAGTGGTTCATTGTATAAACTCAACCAGTTAAGCACAAAATCACTATAACAGAATAAACTTTCAGAAAAAATCCGTTTTTCTCACGTTTTTCTCAGCCAGTAACATTCTTCCAAACAGTGATTAAAGCAGTTTGCAAAATTGCAAAATTGTGAGACATAAGATCGATGAACTATTCATGAATAAAACCATAATCATAATAATATACATGGAATGAATTATTTAATATTTGATAGCAGTAGTGGAAAAAGTATCGGACCATGGGACATTGTTTTTAATTTTTTGATTTTCCCAAGAAAGAAAAAATTGTAATAATTTTATAATTTAGATAAAAGGAGAAATTCAGAGGAAAATTCACATCATGACCTCATAAATGCAATTTTAAGTGGATCCATCTTAATAGTGCGATAGTGTATAAATGTATTGGACTATAGAATGATATAACAAATGTATGGCAAATGCATTTTTAGCCAATCTGGGACACCTGATTTTCAAAATATCTTGGGGTGCATGGATCCTCCTGATAGTGCCCCCTAGTATAGTGCCCCCTAGTATAGTGCCCTAGCTTTTTTGGCATGCATCTGTATTTACCTTTCATCAAACCCTTGATGCATGTTATCCCTAAATTAGTTTTATGTTACATTTTAAGATTCTCAGTGCACTGAAATATTTTTTTTCTGTAAAATATAGCATGACATCCAGTTTGACAACTTGTTAGTGTCACACGGTTGCAGTAAACAGTTGCAGAAAATTTTCAATGTTCTCTTGCGGTCCCAGAAAGTAAATATTTTTCCCATTCCTGTTTTGATAGTATCTTCAAGTCCAAGACAAAAGGGACATGATGATGTTACGTGATATACAAGGTCTACATGCTCCACTCAAGCTGCAGTTGGAAAGATCACTAGCTTCGCAGGTATTATTTTGCAGTTCCATATGATAATTCCATTTGGGTTTTATATAAACGAAATTTTGTATTATGGCTGCCTCTCACAACGTTATTGAAATATAACATTTCTGAAAATCCCTACTAGTAGTCCCCTTTTTGGCAAGGGTTGCAGAACTTGCAGGAGTGAACTTCAGATAAACGCGCTTAACAGCTTCCGCATAACTTATTCCAGTATCTTAATATACCAAATTTACAACTACACGTAATGAACTCTCCATGGCCATATAAGTGTATAGTTTGAGAAAAAGTCTTAAGTCTCCTCTCAATAAGTTGTAAAGGGAGACTACAGAAATAGTGCTGTGTTTCTTTTGTATCAGTTCTTCCTGGCAGCAAAATCCAAAAATAAAAAATATCCTGTGTATACCAAATTGGAGAGACTTTCTGCATAGCTATAAGTTTCTGATATTGTGCTGTACTACCACCATCAATCTCCACGCTAGCCTGCATGGCAGGCGGTCTAAAATACCGCCTGCTGGGTTTGGCAGTGTAATTTGATAACCGCCCACTTTTTTGTCCGGGTCCAATTAGCCAATCAGCAAACACTAAATATATTAATAATCAAACTGTCAAACTATTTTATTGTTTGGTCGCAAAATTAGAAATATAAAATATCTCGAAAGAAACGCCATTGAAAGTTTCAATCACGACCTCTGAATAACGACAAGAGGTAGAAAAGCAAGCGCGGAAAATGTAAATGACCACTGTCGTTTGTGTATTAAGTGTGCTTTGAAACTAAAATACGGGGCAATAGAGAAAATATCTTATATATCGTCGGAGAAATTATTTATTTAAGGCAAGCAAAAGAAACGATCACGACAGTGGCAAAACCTTGGCTGAAATAAGCCGAATTGTGTCCAGTTCATTTAGGAATCGAAGTTAGTTCTACCTCGGAACTATCCGACCGAGTTTGTAAACCGTGTGGGCGAAAGATCCGAAACGCAAGCGAACTGATTGCCATATTAATCAAACGAGACATAAACGCGTTGCCTGTGTACGTATCGAACAAATAGACCGTTGTATATTAAAAGCCTCAGTTGCCAATATAAACTGTCTCGTCTCCCTAACGAAGCCGTGTGGTAAAGAAAGCCTTAAAAAGTTCAGAAAGTGAAGCGGCTAATAGGCCTAGGCGCGCGCCGCGTAGTAGTCCTGTTATAAAACCCGTTGCAAGAAAGGCTATACGGCCGTCTGTATTAATTCTCGTTATATTTTCTCGCGCCAACAAGAACAATGTAAAAATCAAGCTTTTCCCATAACCTGTAAGTAGAACGGCCAAAACATTCTATCCAAGGAGTAAATCTTTAACTGCTATCTCTTGCTCGCGTTTGACAATCAGTTCGCGTTTCAACTTTCGAGAAGCGTTCAGTTTTACAACAGCTAAGCGAACGCATTCATTTGTGTATAAGCGTATTCACTTTTGAGTGACAGCGGCTCAGAACTCGCAGCCAATCATCAATTGACCATTTGCGTAATAGACTAAATTTTGATCTAGACAAAAATTTCATCACAGCTTGAAAGAGCATCACAAAATTAGTAATATTCCAAAGTTTCGTTGCAAAATGTTGTAAAATGCGGATAATATAGCCTTGCGAAGTTTGCAATTTTCAGTCATTTTAGATTACAAAGGGGAAATTGACAGCCCGATACGCTTTGAGGCTGTCAATTTTCCGTTTGTAATCTAAAATGACTGAAAATTGCAAACTTCGCAAGGCTATATTATCCGCATTTTACTACATTTCGCTACGAAACTTTGGAATATTACTAATTCTGTGATGCTCTTTCAAGCTGTGATAAAATTTTTGTCCAGACTTGTTTAGATCAAAATTTTGTCTATTACGCAAATGGTCAATTCCCGTCCACTGGTGGATGGGGAATTCGATTACACTGCCAAACCCAGCAGGCGGTCTTTCCCAGGCTTGCCCGATTTTAGGGACCGCCTGCCATGCAGGCTATCTCCACGCATGACATGATGATAATTTCATTTCAAAAACAGATCTGGAATATTTTAAAACAACATTTGAACAAACTTAATTTCAATATATATATAAGATGACAAAAATTTCCTGCTGGATGTAAGAAAATTTCCTGTGAAGATATTCAATTAAAATTTCCTGGCAGCGGTGCTGCTGCCGGACATTTGCTAGCACAGTTTTGTATAGCCACACAACAAAAACGTGGATAAGATGGTCCTGTTCACATATCCGTGGGACAACCACTCCCTGGAGACAAGTCATCCACCCTTTGATAACTGCATTACAATATTATACAAAATATAAAAGTATTTTACCATTTAGAAACAACGGCTTCCATGTCTTCCCAGTTCCATGGTTGCTTTGGAAACACTTCTTGGATTTGATACAACAATAGACTTTGACGACTTCCTTAATGGTAAGCATGATGTGCTCAAGATGTTTTGTTGTCTCGGTGGCAGAACATCCATATATTACCCAACCATCAGAACTGAACCAGACATTAGTACTGGAATGCGGTGCCCAGTAGCACGCGGAAAACAGCACGTTGGCGGTTCAACAAGTGCACCACCAGCGCGAAGACATGCTATTTTAAATAACTGCCATGGGTTATGATCCCGAACTTACAGACGAAAAGGAATACCGGATAGAACGAATATTTTTGTTAACCACACAGCTCTAAAGGCCCATTTCCACTCAGGAAAATTTTGTAAAATGTGATTGGCCGACACAAATAAACAAATTTTCCGTCGGAAAAAAATTTTGAAGTTGAAAATTTGATAATTGATATTTTCTGAAAATGATATTTTCTGAAAATTTTCTGTCCATGGAAAATTTCCTTGAGTGGAAATGGGCCTTAATTACGGCACAAGAATAAGAAGGTACAGCAGAAGTGTAACTCGAGTCGGTTCCCTTATTGTTTTACGTCCATGAAAATTTTAACTCGCTCACGCCATCCTAGTACAACCGGAAGTTTTTATCAGGTTTTGGTAGGTGCAAAGTGCCGGTTGCACTAGCCAGGATGGCGTGATTGATGACGAATCGCTTGTAAAAACGCGGACAAATACTTGCTTGAGTTACACTTCTGTTGTACCTTCTTATTCTGTGATTACGGTACTGAATATTTTGGGCTTGAAAAGGTCGTATGGCACCAGCAAAAATAAGTACACAGATAGTTCCGCGTATCTACGTGGTACGTGACTGAAAACAAAGAAGTACTGTACCAGACCGTAGTAGTCGTGAGCTTATAAGCAAGCGACGTTTTTGTCAACACGGCCGAGAATTGGTGTAACCAATTTTGCCTGCATTTTGCATCATAGCGCTTGTGTAAGTAAGCAAAAAACTTGAAAAAGCTTATGTTTTATCATATGTGTTGAAGATTACCACAAACACAGTTTGTTTCTGATACAAACACAGTTTTTAATCCAGTCCCATCGACAATCTGACGATCGTGTTGACAAAAACGTCGCTTGCTTAAGCTCACTATAGACGTGCCTCTGCATGGTGCGTTTTTGATTGTGATACGAACTTCCATTTTTGTTTTCATCAATGCTGAATGGAACTTTTCCGGGAGAAAAATCAGAGAACGATAAAACAGTAGAGGGAAACCAAACCAAACCAAATTTATAATGCATGATCTGATCCAAAAACCACACCAGTCAATAAACAGCTTTAAAAATATATAACGGAGAATTTTGATTTTATTTCATGAATATTTCTTCTCATTTTTAGACCCTTACGATTCAGAAATTGCAAGAGATGTCCACTCGGTGATGGAAAACCAATAAGTGCATGGTGCTACGTATACATGTACTCTGCGTTTTCTGTATCGTCTCCAATATACTTTCTTTCACGGAGTGATTTTTTGTTATAAATAGAAATACACATAACAAGCATGGCGAAATTTTGTCTCTTTTTAAGGTCCAGACACACCGGACGCGATTCGAAAACGCGACGCGAATTTTCAGTTTTTAAAAACAAATAAAACCGTCAACGGATAAAAATTTTACAAGATATGCAGACCAAATAGCTAAAATTGCTTAAGTAGTTCCGAATATTAGAAAAACATAGAGAAATATTAAAGTTAAATGTCATTGAAAACTGAAAATTCGCGTCGCGTTGCCAAACGCGTCCGGTCTGTATGGGCCTTTACTCATGGTCATCACCAGATCGCGCAATTCTTTTATGAAAACTGATTGCTATTTTTTGTACGGACAAAATATCCGACCAATTTGGCACGTTTGGGGAAAATTGTAAATGTCCGATGTCCAACCGTTATTTTCGTTTTACTTTGCTGGTCTGCGATCTTCATCAATGTGCAGCCAATATATTTTGAATTTTTGAAAACCTTTGATTACGTTCCTCATCGAATTCTTTTAAAACTGGAAGAACATACGAAAGACGTCAACGGGTGGTGGTCGAAGGAGTAGCATAAAATATGATTTACGTATCCTTCCCTGTAATTAGCCTAAATGGTCCTCACATATCCTCAACGTGGTCGCCACGAGGTTGCGTGGTCGCTTAGGCTATCAAAATGCTTGGGTTTCTTCGTCGGTAATGTTTCCACCTCGCTGACATGAACGCTTACCGCCTACTGGATGTATTTGTCTCTGGTTCGACTTCAACGACCTTCTGCAGTTCTATTACGAAAACCGCGGATGTTTCCGATCTCGCCTGAAAAAACGTGCCGTGTTTAATTTAATTAATGTCAAAACTGCTCGCGCGCAAGGCAAGAGTAACCAAGCCTGCACCTTTTTCTGCTGAAATGTCAAACTATTATTAGTCATTTCGGCATGATTTTTCGTGGACCAATCAGATGTCGCCATTTCCGAATGTAGTCGTATTCCTGAATAAAAAAAAAAACATTAAGGCTATAAATAGCCGTATCCTGATCGTTTGAAAAAACTGTATCTAACCTATCTCGTAACGGCCGGCATGAAATAAAAAATATAGTGCAAATCCGGCATGTACTACAATCTTGGACAAAACCCTTGAGAACACTCCAGCTAATATTACAAAGTTATTGAACATTGACAAAACAAACTTGGTCTCCCCCTCCCCCCCAGTACAATGTTGTGAACAACGCCGAAACAACTTTTGGTAATATACCATGATACAAGCTCAACATTGAGTTGGGGGAGCGGGGGTTTAAGAATGGCAACATGATTCAACATGGAGTTTATCATAAAAATACGCGAATTTTCTATAGGGGGGAAAATAGTCTCAACCAGTTATGTCCAAGATTGTAGCCTGCTTGCAGTCCCAGATTCCCAAAAGAAGTAGGGAGTCCTTCCTTTGGGGGTCTGGGACTGCACGCAGGTTCCTCGACCATTCTCTCTATCATTCAACCCATCCCAGTTCTGGTGGTTTCCTTCTTCCAAATCTGTGTAAAACCTCTCTCTTCAGAACCTCTTACTTTTAATTAATAGAATTGTATTTTTTCTGGAATAACTGCTCTCAATTTCGCAATTAAACAGCTCGTGGTATCAATTAAGTTTTTTTTTATAATTTATATATAGCCATTCCTCAAGTACCCATAATGTAGAATAATGAAAAAGAGTACTCGAACTCAAATTTTGTAAACCATGGGAGGATGTTTCTTTTCCAAAAAACTAAAATTTAAAAGCTTTAATCGTATCAAAACTTCTGCGCGACCGGGTTGCGAAGTCGACAGTATCTTGGGAAATAATTAGTTGCTGGGGCACCTGTGCCAGCAACTATAGGTTTCGGGTGAATTTTAGCCTGCTCACAGGCTCTTTTATATAGAGCCTGCGACTTTTATTGATATTTTTTCAATACGCCCCCTTTGAGATAATTGAATATCCGGTAAATAGTAGCCAATCAAAGCAAGTTTTGTTAATTAGATTACCAGAGGTTATTAACAACAACAAACAG